CGTTGGTCAGCGGGCGAAGATGACCATCTCCCCAGATTATGCCTACGGCTCTACTGGCCACCCAGGGATCATCCCACCAAACGCCACTCTAATTTTTGACGTGGAGCTCATGAAATTGGAATGACCTACCCCAGCACCCTCTCCTCGGGTAAGGAGGGGCGGCCACCGGCGGGGAGCATTGTGGCTTGGGGGTGACTCGAGGCCCCCACCTTTTGTCTCAGGCTAACGTGCTGGAGGTGATGGCAGCGGGGGTATGAGGAGGAGGGGACAGGTTTCTGGCTGTGAAGTTGCTCTCTGGGCCACTGAGCTGGGCATCAGCACGGTGGTATGAGCAAAGTTCCCAGCCTGGCAGAGCAGGATTCGTGCCGTGGAGGGGCTGCAGGGCCGGCTGACCGTGCCTCGGGTTCCTGGTTTTGGGTTGCTGCACCGTGGGGCTCGGCTGCCCGCTCCCCCTCCTGCCTCTCCTGATGGTGGTGCCTGGGTCCTGTGGTGTGGGCAGGATGGGGCCATGCTCTGGGGTCTGCGGGTCCTGCGGTGCAGGCAGGACGAGGCCATGGTCTGGGGTGCCTGGGTCCTGCAGTGCGGGCAGGATGGGGCCGTGCTCTGGGATCTGTGGGTCCTGTGGTGCAGGCAGGATGGGGCCGTGCTTTTGGGTGCCTGGGTCCTGCGGTGTGGGCAGGATGGGGCCATGCTTTCGGGTGCCTGGGTCCTGTGGTGCAGGCAGGATGGGGCCGTGCTCCCCGTAATCAGGGCTTGACTTCCCCTTCGGGTGAGCGGCGCGGTTTCGGCAAGGCGGCCGTTCCCGAGCACGCTCCCCCCTCCGCGGGCGGGCAGCTTTGTCACGCTGCCTCTCCTCTCTCCCCGCAGGTTTGGCACATGGAGGAATCCAGAATCTCAGCTTCAAGAAGAGTGCACATGACTTTGTACGGAGCTTTTCCCGATCGCCCACTACACTCATTGTATAACCTTACACCTTGATTGAATGCCTTTGGTCACTAAGCTTTGCCTCTGACTCTTCCTCCTTGTATCGTGTTTTTATGTCTTTTTAAACTATACGCCGTAAACCTCAACTCTTTTTGGGTCAAGTTCTTAATCTTATTTTTGTTCCAGGTGTAGACTCTGTTTTACCAGTAGCACGCGGATGGGCTGACCTTAGATAGGAGTCATTTGAACAAACAGCAACCTGGTAGTTACTCGGTTTGGTGCGGATCTCGATGATGTTTTTCAAACCAGAAATTGCTGCTGCTGCAAAAGCCATAGCAGAGTGAGGCTGGCGAGGCTGAACGGCTGCGGAGAGCAAAGTAGCGCTAGGATTGTGTGTAGGTACCCTGCCCGGAGCCGGGGCAGCGCGGGAGCAGCGTGTCCTTGACCTGCCCCCCGGGGAGGGCGCAGCGTCACCGCGGGCACCGTGGGTTTGCTCCTGGGACGGGGGGGCTGCTCTGCCCCTGCTTCACTCTGCCCATCTCACAGCGGCCCTTCCTTCCTTCCCCCCCCCCCCCCCCCCCCTCTTGTGTTGCCGGGGGGGG